AGTGACAGAAGCGTTTCCCCCGGGAGATGTTGCAAATCCCAATTTCCTGCTCCCAAACCCCTGGTATTTGCTGGGGCAGCAGTGGAAGCAGCAGAGGAAGCAGGGATGGATTTTTTTTTGGAGGATAGCCCAAGCAGAAGAGCTCCCCAGGAAYGTGACACGTTTTGCTCGGCTTTGCTTCCCCCTCATCCTCTGCCCGTGGAGGTGCTGCCCTTCCCGGGACTGGCATGGGAATTCTGTTGGCTTTGGCTGGAGCTGGCACGTTTTTGCATGGTCTGAGCACACCCYGGGCTGGATCCATCCCCCTCCACCCCCTGGCCATGAGTGAGGGTGTCCTGGGATGAGCTGCTCCTCTGCAGTCCTTCACTGCTCCTTTTGGGCAGAATCATCCTCGTGCTTCAAACACGGTGTGAAAAAGGGTCCAGACTGCTGCACAGCAGGGAGGAGGTGAGGCTGGAGGGCAGGGAGTGACCTCTGGGAGTTTTTGGGTGCCTGTGGCATCAACACCTCGTGTACCTGGGCTGAGCTTTGGGTATTTTCCGTGGGGAAGAGGGGATTTAACCTTCTCTTGGTGGCGGGCACAGTGCTGTGGTCCCACAGGGGGTTTCCATCATTCCAGAGATGATTTCAGCCTCAAGCGTCTTTTGGAGACAAGAATTCCTGACCAGAACCTGGTGGTGATCCTGCAGGACTGAATTCTTTCAGAGCCTGGCCAGTGTCTGTGATGCACCACTGAAGCAAAGTTTTCCCCTTTTTAAAACCGTGGAACCCTCGAATGGTTTGGTTTGGAATGAACCTTAAATCTCAGCTCATCCCACYTTCCACTGTGCCAGGCTCTTCCTTCCAGCCTGGCCCTGGGCACTGCCAGGGATCCAGGGGCAGCCACAGCTGCTCTGGACAATCTGCCCGTGCCTCCGTTTTTTCCAGGTTTCTGATGTTTTGTGGTTTTCCCATCGGGCACTGAGGGGTTTTTTTTTTGCAGCGAGTGGGAGCAGAGGATCCTCCCGGCATCCACARGGCAGGAGAGGAGAGGGGACAGTGCCGGGGATTGCAGGGGTCCCCTCAGCCTGGGGACCATCAGGGGGGGACACTGCCGCCACCCCAACCCCAGGGGCAGCCTGAACTCCCCGCTGGTGCCACAATGAACCCCCGCCGCCCCTTTTTTGCGGGGCACAAAAAAAGCGACTGCAAAAACTGTCATGCAAAGCCTGCGGCTGCAGCGCCCCGCATGCCGCTCCCGCCCGGCTCCGTCCTGTCCTCGGCTTGCTTTCCCAAACGCGGGGGGAAGAGCATCTTCCACACGTTTGCAAAGCCTCATCCAAAGCCGGGGGTGTGGTTGGTGGTGGTTTTTGCCCATCGAGTCAGGCTGGGGGCACGGTGAGCCCGGGGCAGCGGTGCCCGCCTGGTGCCAAGGGGGGTTGTGGCTCTGTTGCAGGCTCATCGCGGGGTCCCAGCCCCCTGACCATGGGTGCCCAGGACACCCTGCCCGTGGCCGCCGCCTTCACCGAGACCGTCAACGCGTATTTCAAAGGGGCCGACCCCAACAAGTAGGTGCCGACCCCCRGGGAGTTTTGGGGTGGGTGCTGGGGAGGCTTTTTGAGGGATCGGGGCTTGGGGTGCCTGGGGCAAACATTCCTGGGGTGCCCCGTTTATTTCTGCTGGGGGAAAGGGAACTGGTGGTTCTTTGTGGGATATTTCAGCTGGAGGAATCTCAGGGAGCAGCACGGGAAGGGTGGCAGGGGGGCTGCACCTCCCCTCCCCATGCCCTCCCTGCCTGGMCAAAACGGGATGGCATTCCAGCAGAAATTACCAGGGTTTTCCCASCTTTGTTATAAAAACCTCTAACAGGTAAAACCCCAGAGGGCAGAGCGAAGATAAATGATTTTAACTGAAACACTGAATGACAGCACAAATAAGAAGCTTTAAACAGGGCAGTGATATTTAAGAGTGTCCCATTCAGCCCTTGTGCAGTTTCTGCTCTCTCCGAGAGGCTCGGATGTGTCGGGAGGGGAGGGTGGACTGTCCCCACACCATCCTGCTCCTTCCCCTCCCCTGGCCCATTTTGAGCGCCCTTTCCTCCCCCTGGGTCTCTGTGCTGGGCGCTGCAGGTGCATCGTGAAGATCACGGGGGAGATGGTGCTGTCCTTCCCGGCGGGCATCACCCGACACTTTGCCAACAACCCCGCTCCGGCCGTGCTCACCTTCCGTGTGCTCAACTACAACCGGCTGGAGCACGTCCTGCCAAACCCCCAGCTGCTCTGCTGGTAAGCCCTGACCTCCACAGTGTTCCAGGAAAAGGCAGCATTCCAGGGAAACCGGGTGTTTGCAATATGGCCTGAGCTGTCTGCCCTGGAAGCACGCCCTGGTTTTGGGAAGGAAACTCTCAGACCTGTAAATACTCGATAAAGTCCCAGAATGGTTTGGGTTGAGAGATCATCAGGTTCATCCAGTTCCACCCCTGATATCTTCCACTGTGCCAGGGTGCTCCAAACCCCAATATCCAGCCTGGCCTTGGGCACTGCCAGGGATCCAGGGGCAGCCACAGCTGTGCCAGGGCCTGCCCACCCTCCAGGGAACAATTACCAATTCCCAAAATCCCATCCATCCCTGCCCTCTGGCAGTGTGACCCCATTCCCTGTGTCCTGTCCCTCCATCCCTTGTCCCCAGTCTCTCTCCAGCTCTTCTGGAGCCCCTTTAGGCCCCAAAAGGGGCTCTGAACTCTCCCTGGATCCTTCTCCTCTCCAGATGAGCACCCCCAGCTCTCCCAGCCTGGCTCCTGGGAGCAGTTTTGTGATCTCCTGTGCACTCCACATTCTCCTGCTGTGGGTCCCAGGGATGGGAACAGAGGGGCAGAATCCCCCCCTTCCCCTCCTCCCCTCAGCCCAGGAATCAGGGGATTCTGAATGGATCAGGACAAGCCAGAGATGTGCKGGAGGGAGCCAAGATTCCTCTGGCTGTGGGATTGAGTGCTTTGGMGAGCAGCCCTGTGATGCCAAGGGTTCCTTCTCCCCCTGTGCAGTGACAGCGTGCAGAGCGACTCCAGCTCCAAGGAGTTCTGGGTCAACATGCCAAACCTGATGACTCACCTAAAGAAGGTATCGGAACAGAAACCTCAAGCCACCTATTACAATGTGGATATGCTCAAATACCAGGTAGGGTTTTTTTTTTTGGGGAGATAAAACCATGACAAAAAAACAAAAAAACAAAAAAAAAAACCCAAAAAACCCAACAAACCAAACCAAAAACCCCAAAAATTGCCCCAAAAAGTGTGCTGGATTATAGCTGTAAAAAATGGTGTTTCCCTCGTGCAGAGTGGAGCTAAAATGAGGTGGGGTTTGTTGTCCCCCTGTCCCTTGTGTGTGGCACTGGGTTGTCTGGTTTTAGGCCCAGTCCTAAATTCGGTGGGAATTTGGAGGTGTTGCCTCCCAATGCGATGTCCGCGTCTGTAAAATGGGATTTGTCCCTTCAGCCCTACGGAAACTAAATGTTTTTTCTGTCATTTTGGAAGGTATCTGCCCAGGGTATTCAGTCTACTCCATTAAACCTTGCAGTGAGCTGGCGCTGTGACCCTGCAAGCACTGACCTGCGCATCGACTACAAATACAATACTGAGGCAATGACCACTCCGGTCGCTCTAAACAACGTCCAGTTCCTCGTCCCCGTCGACGGAGGAGTAACCAAACTTCAGGCTGTGCTTCCTCCTGCTGTCTGGTAGGGATTGTTCATCCTGATTCTGCTGCAGGAGGGGCTGTGGGTGGGAGKAGGGGCATGCTGGGGATCCAGGTAAACATTTAACCCCACTCTCTGATTCAGTTTTTCTTGCTGTTTCCATAAAAAAGTGGTCAGAGGTGAATGCTGGCAGCAGAGAATCAGCCCTTATTTTGTGTTTTGGCTGCTTTATCCATGGTTTAGAGGGATGCATGGATATCTCTACCACAGGCACTGGTACRGARCAGCYGWGGCTGYCCCTGRATCYCTGRAAATSTCCAAAACCAGCTTGGATGGGGCTTGGAGCASYCTGGGATAGTGGAAKRTGTCCCTGCCCATGGAATGGGATGAGTTTTGAGGTCCYTTCCAAGCCAAACCAGTCTGGATTCTGGGATTCTATGGAAGGATGTGTGGCTGTCACTGACGTGGGTGCTGGGATGTTCCTATACCTGTTACCCATCGCTCCTGCAATCCAAGAGCAGCATTTTCCTGCTCAGCTCACACAATAATAGAATTATTTTGGTTGGAAAAGCCTTCTAAGACTGTCCAGTCCAGCCACTAACCCAACACTGCCAAACCTAGCAGGTCAAAACCAAATCCAAGCTCTCAGAACTGCCCCTTCCTGGCTCCCACAGCCTTTAACAAAATTCAAATGACTCCTCAGCAATTTCTCAATTCCTACAGAAACGCTCTTCTTCATGTCTTTGCAGGAATGCTGAACAGCAAAGGATATTGTGGAAGATCCCTGATATCTCCCAGAAGTCAGAAAATGGAGGTAATCCTGCAAAAATGCACGTTATTATATGGGACTGACCTGGGGATGGTGCCAGCACACAGGCCCAGACACGGAGAATCCTGCTGGGGACAAAACTG